TTTTTAAGGTCATCAACTTCCGAGCCCTACTTATAAATAATTAAATTATAAATAACCACTAATAATAAAAAGGTCAAACTCTGTGATATATTATTTTATAATAACATACAAATAAATGTATAAACTATGAATCAAAGTTTATTTATATACTAGTACATTTCTTTTAAATTTTAATTACTTATGTAAATTCCTAGTTTGTCAAATTTCCAAAATAAATTATACTAGCCTACTATTAATCTATTTGTTTTACATAGCATACTCACTAAGAATATTTTTTCTATTATTTTATTATAAAGTAATAATTAAATATGTGTATGTATTTCTTTAGATGGATTTACCATCTTCATCAAGTATGAATCCTGCTAGAAAAGTGTTAGATGGAGTAACTTACCTTTCTGAAACAGTTGCTAGTGTAAGTTATGAACCATCCCGCTTGTTATCTTCTTGGGTTGCTGATCAATTTGCGCCTAAATACTGGAAGCCAAATGCTGAAATAAAGGTACTACTTATGTAGTRAAACTAACTTTTATTATTATTATGTACCTATACTCTTATAAATTAATTATAATTAGAGTAACTAATATGGTTTTAGGAATGTATTGTCTGTAAATTACAATTTTCTTCAACATCGATAAAACATCATTGTCGAGCGTGTGGAGAAGGAGTTTGTGACGAATGTTCTAAACGGACATTGTGTGTTCCTGAAAGAGGATGGGATACACCTGTTCGTGTGTGCAATTTTTGTTATAAACGATCTGGTTAGTACACTMTAATGTCTTAAGTTAATATTGAAAAAATAATATTATTTAAAAAATTTTATAGGAAGCATAAGTAGTAATTGTTCAGATTCGTCTAGTCGAGGTGACGAAAGTGAAGTAGGGGCTCGTAAGTTTAGTGAAGCTGTAGTTCAAACATTATCTTCTGTGGCTTCTGTTCTAGAATATCCAAAAAGTAATTGCAATTACTGTTATTATTATTATTTTTTTATTATTTAAAGTGTGTTTAATTAATCTTGTTTTCTTAGATCTTATTAAAGATACAGCAAGACCATCTTATTGGGTACCTGATAGTGAGGCATTGGAATGTTATATATGTAAATCAGAATTCGGATCAACTTTAATATTACATCATTGTCGAGATTGTGGCCATGGAATTTGTTCCAGTTGTTCCAACCATCGGAAACCAGTCCCCCACCGAGGTTGGCCTAACCCTGTTCGAGTTTGTGATTTATGTTCTAATCAAGACACATAAATAAATTTCATTTTTTTTCAATAACTTAAATAATATTTTTTTAATACTTTTATTTGATTGAATAATGAGCATGTTTTGGTATTCCAATCTTGATAGCGACTTAACAAATTGATAATTTGAAATACTAATTGCTAGTGAATTATTATTATTCCTTATGAATTGTTCATTTTTTCATTGCCAAAAATACATAAACAAATTACTGTGATAGGTATGATTTAAGCTAGTCCTAAGTGGTTTCCTTGATTTCTTGGTGGTTCTATTAGGTTTACTTATTGTTATGATAGCTCTATTATAAATAATTAGTATTGACTACCATAWTATATATTGTTTGTTTTATTTTATTAAATTTTCTTTTATTGACCAATTGACCAATTTTTACATTTTATTAAATTCTATAAGTCTGTGTTCAACAAAGTTGTAATTACTTAGATAATTAGTTATGTATATTATATTATCTTAAATTACCAATTGTTTATAATATCAATAAACCAATAAAAACATTGTTTTATCTACACTATTGATATCTTTGACCTTTGACCTTCTATGTAGTATCAAACAAATTTGAAAAAAGGGTAAGTAAGTAACGTTTTGCTATATATTAGTTGTCGAGACTGGATACTGGATAGTCACAGTAATTAACGTTTTAAATTTAAATTTAAATTCAATAATCATGGTATGAGTAAAACGATTTTAAACGAAGATAGTTTTAGGCCTTTATTTTAATAAGTAAATTGTATGATATTATTGTGATTGAAGTTATTTATCAAACTATAAGCCATTAGTACCATAGTAGGTAAAATTACATTTTAGTTTTTTACAAAAAAAAAATTGCATTTGAAAATGGCATTGTGTTTATTCGTATACAACACTATAATGTACTCTWAACTTCTCGAGTCTCAAAAACACAAATCACTATTCTTAGTTTATTAAATAATTTTTCTATATTTTCTATTATTGTATTACATTTTAAAGTTTTTTGGYCAAACAAAATTTATTTTATCGAAGTCCATTAAAAAAATCGGGTAAGTGGATATCGCTTTGCTGTGTACAGTAGATTACTGTAATGAATGGTAATTGTGTAATTTTAATTCAGTGTCCAGTGATATAATTGTAGG